GATAGATAGATAGATAGATAGATAGATAGATAGATAGATAGATAGATAGATAGATAGATAGATAGACAGACAGAATGAATGAATGAATGAATGAATGAATGAATGAATGAATGAATGAATGAATGAATGATTGGCCAAGTGTGATTGGACACACAAGAAATTTATCTTGGTACCTATACTCTCAGTGTACATTAAAGAAAAAATACATTTGTCAAGAATCAAGAATCTGAGCCAATATATTTATGTGCGCACTTCCCAAGATTTAACTACCCTAGCCATGGCAAGAAAACTCCTTTGTGTAATAATCTAACTAACCAAGTTCATCCACACTAGATACCTATTTATCTACTCACATTTGCATGCACTCAAACTGCTAGGCTGGCAGGAGTTGAGGCAAGAATAGGAGAATAGCAGGAAAAAATGGCTTTTTGCTAAATGAAAGCACATCAATGATTGCCATTTCAAGAGAAAACTGAAAACAATGTGGTATATAGACCATATCTTGATTTTTACATGTGCATTTTGTTCATCAAAGACTCAAAGTTGGGACATGCCTTGTCTTTTCACTGTTTAGACTACATGCTTTGCATTTCGCTAGGGAGGGAGGAAATGATGGATAGTTGATAAATGATAAATATATGCTAGATAATAGATATAGATAGATGATAGTTCAGACAATCTGATCTTATATGCATTATTTAATATCATGTATTTTCTATATAGCATTGTTGTTTTGTTTTAAATTATCTAGCCAGAATCATCTTGATTTTGGGCAGGGCCTAAATCTAAAGTTGGAATTATAATAATCTCATGTTAAATTCCTACTAAGGAAATTTCTGCATTTTCTGAAAAATAATAATGTACACATATATCAATATGTACATACAACTGTATAACTAGAACATCCATGTTAAGCAAAAGTAGCTGAGTTACCCATAAAAATAATGCACATAACTTTACTAGGACTACTCAAAGGTCATACACTTATGTAAACATTTAAGATCTGAAGGTGACACTTTCCCAAAGTGGTGTTACAAAGGAGTGAAGGAACTGCCTTCAGATGAGGTGTTCATGGTTGAACACCAAGTAAACTTTACTATGGCTTGTTTGTGCTCTCTGCATTTTTCGCATGCTTCACCCGGGCCTAATGAGTTTTCTGAATAAGGGTTTTGAAACAGTTAAGAGCAAGGCCCATCAGAGGCACTTTAGAACTGAAGCAGACAGCTTCTTAGCACTTAAACTGAAACACAACTGGTGTTTCACTCAAGCTCAAACAGGGAAACCTGGTGATGTCATGAACTTCTAAGCAAACACTTTAACAGACTCAGGGTCAAGCTCTCGCCTTCAGGGATCTATAACTTTAGCAAACAACACAATCGTACCAATGGACAATCTGAATAAATCCCATCACGTAAAACCCCGGTTGTAACCTCAATATACCTAGAATCACTACCTACCCAGCTTTGAATCAGAACAGCTCTGAGATTTAAATAAACAGGTTTATGGTCACTGGCCCTGAATTTTAAATCAAGAGATCTGACTCAAATCCTTGATGGATCTGGCTAGATCATTTAGCTAACTCCACTCATGAACTGCCCTGGGAAAACAAGGAAATTGGTGCAAAATTACAGGAAATTGATTTATGCAGTGAGATGCAATGCAATTTACTCTCAGAGAAATTAGTACAAGAATTTCCCAGAGTCCTTTGAAGACTTTGATAAGATTGCTCACAGGGACATTTGAAAGATACAGCTTGTCCTCCCAACCATTATTTTTTACACTGCCACCTCACAGCTCTTCCTCAGGAGTATTAAACTATACTGTATAGTGTTTCTCAACTTCAGGAACTTTTAAGATGTGTGGCCTCCCAGAATTCCCCTGCCAGCTTTGGAGTTGGAATCTACACGATCTTGAGAAACCCTGCATTAGATAAATATTCGAAGATGCATTTGTAACACAAGAACAAAACTCAACCTATTGAAAAAGTTTAACAGGTTAACCTCATAATTGTTCTCTTCCTTCTTTTTGTATCTAGGAAGGCTGCCTAAATTGCGGAAGGGTGCCTAAATTACATTTGAGCATGTATCCAGCAAACAGAATATGAAAATAAAGTTTTCCTGTGCCATAAATTTCGAATGAATAATCCTACACTGCAGTAGTTACAGGTAGCATATAGAGAATTATGTCCTACATAGAATTACAATTAACAGGAACATGCTAAACCACAGAACAAATGGGCTCCTCTGGAAATTTGTCTCCATTTTCCATTTGCAGAACATGGACAAGTAGCTAACAATTCATTTCAAAGAATTTCTAAAAGGAACTATCAGAATGCCTTCCCCTGCCCCCCGCCCCCCCCCCCAAAAAATCCCCATTAAGATACTAATAGAAATAAAACGATTGTGATCCATCTGTGGTCTTGCACACCTACCACCCAGTAGCACAATCTTGCTCTTATTTACTAAAAGTGCTCCTTCCCAAGTCAAATTATATGCTACTCACTAAAGCTTTGCACACCACGTGGAATGAGCAAACGTGGTGGCAGAGCCAGAGAAAAGCAACTCAGCACCATTGGTTTCTACTGGACCCAGAAAAGGGCCTGGCTTCCCCTGGGAGTTCCTGTAGGGGCCATCCCCATTCCGCTAAAGTTGCTCCTCCTTGCAACCCCTTGCAAATATGCCGAATTGCTTCCAGTCAGAAAAATCTTCCTCTGGGCTCAGGCATCGACCTACCAGGCCCTGCGCTGCACTTTGGGAATTTCAAATCCTGCTTCAATCCTGGAGAAGCTTCGCTCAAAATAATTGGGCTGGTGCGGAAAACAATCACAACTATTTAAAAAAAGAGCGAAGTGGAGCAGGCGAGGCTGCAGCGGTTCTTCTCTCGGACCCCCCCTCCGCCCCAATTAGCCCTTCGGAGCCTGCCCACCGCCGTTTCCTGCACTCATTCCGGAGGGACGAGATTCAGGCCGTCCCTTCCCCGGGGCCAGGCAGAGTGTCCTTACCAGGCCGTCGGAGCAGCTGGAGTTGGGACTGGGAGGCTCGGAGCAGCCGGGCGCCGGCAGCCCGTAGAAATGCTGGACCTGCTCCCTCAGCAGCTCCTGCAGGCTCTCGATGTAGCTGATGGCGTTGCGCAGGATGTCCACTTTGGGTAGCCGCTGGCCGGCATTGGACGAGGTGCAGCGCTTGAGCGCCTCGAAAGCCTGGTTGACCTTCTTCAGCCGCCGCCTTTCCCGCAGGGTGGCCGCCTTGCGCCGGTCACCCGGGCTCGCCTTCTTCTTGCAGGCTTTGCAAGCCCAGAGCAGGCAGGGGCCGGCCTGCGAGTGGCCCGTCGGGGCACGGACGTGTTCCTCGCCGTCCGAGCTCCCGGGAGGCTCCGCCGGAGGGTCTCTGAAGGAGGCTGAGGCCGTCCTCTGGGCGAGATCCTCTTCTTTCTCCTCGGGGGAAGAGGCGAAGGGCGAGCTGGCGTAGAAGAAGCCGCCCAAGGGGGACGAAAACGGACAGCCGTCCATCACCTCTTCCATCCTCAACGCTGGGCTGCAGGGAGAGGCTGGGGCATCGGCGCTCTGGAACCGGCCGAGGGGCTCGCGCCTCTTTATATCCCGGGTGGGCAGCCCAGCCAGCGGCCCCGTCACGACCCCTGCTCGGAGGAGTCCCCCGGACCCTCCCCCCCTTCCCTCTCAAGGGGCCCTGCGCTCCTCTGGCGCGGATTGGCCGCTGGCTTTTCCCAAGGCGCGGCGGATCCAGGAGGTGCAATTAGTAACACTTTAAAGATCACAGCAACAACAGCAGCAAGAAAAACAGAAAAGCGCAACCGGGAGGCAAGGCCGCACTCCGGCAGCCCGACGCGGAGTTGCTTCGGCACATTCCCCCACACACACCCCCAACATACACACACACACATACACAAAAAGCCAGGAAATCCGAAGAGTAGCCGAAAACTCCTCCCTGGCCTCTGGCTACACTACTCCGCGGTAAAAGGGGCTCTTAAGGAAAAAACTGCTTGGCGGCTGTGAGAAAAGCCAAGCGATCGCCTCGCTCCTTAAAAATAAAGTTTATCCTAGTAAGACTAATCCGTCGCAAATGATCGCAATGGTTTTTTCCCCTCCTTCTCTTACTATTTGATTAGTAATTGAACTGGGTCCTTCCATTAAAAAAAGACGCAACTATTATCCTGACTAATATAGAGATTATAGAAATAGACCTCGTGTTTAACTTTCTATTATTGTACCCATTTAGCAATTTTCCAAGCAGGAAAAAACATTACATTTTGTTCTTTCGGGACCGGAGGGAAACGAAATGTTAAGGATAGCGGGCAAGTGGAAGGAGGCCCCTGGAAGCTCAGCTCACAGTCGAACAGAGGCTGTTGCGCAAATTCAAACCGGAGTTAGTGGGTGCCGCAAACCGCAGCCCAAAAGGTCTTCCGAGAACTTTCATTCTGACTTGCGCTTCAGCCCTATAGTGACTTTCAGAGCCTGAGCAGGCAGGACAGAGGGACGTTCATGCTTCCCCGGAGTCCTGGGAAGGGCCAGGGCTGCCCGGTACCTTTCAGCTCTCCAAGACGAGTCGTTTGCAAGCTTAAAGCTTCTCCTGCGCCCTCCCCCCGCTTCCCCCACCACCACCCGCGTCCGCTCTCAGTTTCTTGCCTTTTGCCAAGAGGCAGTTCTGTGAAAAGGCGAAAAGGCTGGATTTGCACCGTTACCGATGTGTTCCAGCTGCTGGTGCCCCCTCCGCCCCCCAGCGTGCAATTTCTAGGCCCGCAACCTTTCAGGAACTTGATAGAAGCTTCCCGGAGGCCCAGGCAATTAAGAGAAGAGGGAGGGGGCGTGGGGGAAGGGGTCATTAGTGGGTAATGATAAGGCATTTAGCAGGCAGCGCTTGCCAAAGTCCCGGGACCCTTTAGCCCCGGTCACGTGGGATCCTCCTAAGAAAACAAGCGCTTCTCTCTTTCGTTTCTTTACGGTTGCCAGAGGCGCAGCTGGGCTAATTTGTGGCAGAAAACAACAACTCCGAGGAGCCTTGAGGCACGTTCAACACTGACAAATGGCACACGGCCTTAGGTTGGGTGACGAACGTCCACTGCTCCCAATAAGGGAATTCCCGAGCTGAACGGTGGGTCTGCATCGCGTAATCCTGGGAGCAGGTGCCCGGACGGCGGAGGGGGGGCTCACTGAAAGGAGAGAAAGCGAAGGAAAATGCGGGGAGGGGGCTTTCCTCAGTGGCAGTTCAGTTACACGCGAGGGCCTTTCACAAAGCATTTTCTGGCGTTTCCTTTTCTCCTGGCCTGTCTCGGATTCCCAGTTTATCCTCGGTAATGAAATTGAAATGCTCCTTCCAGGCTCCTCCTAATTTGGGGCTACCCGAGACTATCACAGCTCTCTTCTCACAACACCCGATTCCCAACAATCCTAGTCCACACGACCGTAAAGCCCTCGTTGTGTAACTGAACGTAAAAGCTGGCTTCCTTGCTTGCCCTCTGATCCTTTATGCGGGTTTCTTGAAACGTAACTCTCTGGCTAGGGAAGTCCACTCAAGAATAAGTTGCCTTAAATCGGAGGTCTCCAAACTTGGCAACTTTAAGACTTGTGGGAGTTGAAGTCCACAAATCTTAAAGTTGCCAAGTTTGGGGAGCCCTGCCTCAAACTCAAAGGGACCGACTAAGCCAATCCACAATCGCGCTATTTCCAAAGAACCGCGTCTCTCCTATTGAAAGTCAACCGCCCATCAGGTGCATCATCTTGGTCGCTGGCGCCATTCGTGAGTGCCACGTTAAAATAGTTGCCTCCGCCTTTGCAGTTGTAAATTTTCTTTAAACCAGGGTTAAAGTTAAGCCAAGCCAAGCCAAGGCTCAATCCTCTGCCTGCAAACATTCCTCCCTGACAGTTCATTCTGGAGAATTCATTCATCCGCTTTGGTTCTATGCGACCTCACTGGATTTTGGACCAAAAAGAGCCTTTGGTTCTCAGCTGCTGCTGGACGCAAACTCCAAAGCAACGCTGACCGGGACTGATGGACGTCGAAAGTGTTTATTCCACTGTTTTTGTCGGAATCTCCAAACTGGTGAAGCAGTGGAGCATCTTCAAGAAGGGGAGGGTGTTGAAGAAGAGAGTGAGTTGAATGGTAGACTTACGTCTTCCTCTTTCCGTGCAGGTTCCGCACAAAAGTTGATGCTTTTGGACTTTTAGCCTGGCTCCTTGTAAAGATTTGTGCAGGGCGTTTTGCCCTGCGACTAGGCTGAAAGTGTTCGGGTGAAAACTCTACGCGTGTGGTACGCGATGCTCGGCCTATGAACCGGGAAGGCCCCTGAGAGGCGGGAGATCCCATGGGAAAGAAGGCCCCGTCCTCCGGGACATGGAGACTCCGGCATCGCTCTGGAGCCTCTCGTCTTCCTCCACTTCCTCCACTTAAGCCATAGATAGGATGGGAATCAGTTGCATCCAGGCGTGTCCGCATGGGGTAGTCAAAAAAGTCAAGGTGGCACAACACACACACACACACACACACACAAATGGCCACCACCTTTACTTTTTTGCCCACGCACCCCTGAATACAACAGAAAGCCCCTTCAATGTCTTACCCTTTGCTTGCTTTTCTCAACTTTCTCCATCTGTCCTGTCCCAAAGATGCTTCTTCCAAAAGGCAACTGGATTTTCTTGTTTTTGTTTTTCCTTTGAAAACCTTTCGTTTCTCATCCAGCAAACTCCCATCCAGTAAACTGTAACTTTGTCACTTGTATCCTTACGATTTATATTGACTGTTTCCTGCTATGATGTGGTTGCTTATTGTACCCTATGGCTATCATTAAGTGTTGTACCTTATGGTTCTATTATGAATGTATCTTTTCTTTTTATGTACACTGAGAGCACATATGCACCAAGATGAATTCCTTGTGTGCCTAATCCCACTTGGCCAATAAAGAATTCATTCATTCATTCATAAACTTCTTCAGTTCTAGCTAAATATAGAGTTGTGAATATTCTGAGTCAGAACTGAAGAAGCTTCTTGGATGAGAGTAAAAACGTTTTCAAAGGGGGGAAAAAAAGGAACCAAGAAAGTCTAGTTGCCTTTTGGAAAAAGCACCGTGAACTGGTCGATTGAGAATCCCCATAGACATATCCTCCGAGTACATTTCTCAAGGTCCCCAGCCAGCAGGACCTCCACTTCATGTTCCCGCCAGCTCCTGCTTCAGCGGAGGCATCTGAGGGACAGGAAAGCCGCTTCTCTGGCCGGGGGTGGGGGGCTATCAGTCCAGCCACCAGAAATGTCTTGGGCATGCCAAGGGGGGCAAGTGATTTTCAGGCAAACGGCAGGGCAGAGACAGGAAAGCCTGGAGTGCGGCGGCGGCAGCGGAGGCTGGAAGAGTGAAGGGACCTTTCTCGCCCAGAGGTGAGTTTGACTTGGTGGAAGCGGGTAAGAGAGGCATTGTAGTTCCTAAACGATGTGTTACTTGAAACTCCCTCCCCATGAATATTTCACTTCCAATTCCCCCCGGACTACACTAAATTCGGTCAAGGGATACCTAGTGGCCATATTCACACGACATGCTAAGTTTGACTAGATCCATAGTGGTTTTAAGTTTGTTGTGCAAATGTACTGTATGCCTTAATGCAAAGGTCCCCAAACTCGCCAACTTTAAGACTTGTGGACTTCAACTCCCAGAATTCTGGGAGTTGAAGTCCACAAGTCTTAAAGTTGGCGAGTTTGGGGACCCCTGCCTTAATGTTATGGTTACAAACAATGCACAGAACCAGAGAACGGGCTGATTGGTTTACCATAAAGTTAAGTGAGTTGTATGAACTCACCCTGTTTCTTAAATATGGGTCAGATGAAAAGGAAAGATAAAGCCCATGTCTTCAGGCTGGAGGATTCCGCGGTGTCTCTTTGTGCCATAGCTTGCAGAATAGAAATGAGCGCAAGTTCCGAGGTGGCTCTTTAATTTTCTCAGTTGTTGGATGCAAGTAGAAGAGGTGTTTTTTTGTTTTAAGTCAAATTGAGACTCGAAGTGCAGGTGTAGACCAAATGCATCGTCTCTTACTGTGTACCCATGTGGAGCTATGATTGGAGCCCTCCGCTTGCATCACTCAGTCCTTGGGATGGTTGACACTGTAGTGTGGCCAAGATTGGAGGAGGCGAGATTTAGAAAAATGAGAGGTGGGTTGGTCAAAGCTATTCCCCAGCAGACAAGGAAACCACCAGCTGCGCTTCCTCCTCTGGGACTTTTCTGCCTTCTGCACAGAAGTGGATTTGAAGCTGTACAGATGCAGATAGATAACTCAACAAGATGTCCATAACAAATTACATTTATTGGTTCATCAGGTATCCTCATAACTCACGTTTGTGATGAAGTTCTTCTTTAATGACTAATCCTTTGTATATCTGCCTTGTAGTAAAAGATGATTATCTCCTAACCCATCTCCTAGCGATAGAAAGAAGCTGCCATGAGTTAGAGAGTTCAGACAAAGAAAGAGGAAAACTCCCCCAACCCATCAGGGTCAAACTAGTGACCAATAAGGATTACAGATGTGGTCACGTGACATGAACTACATTTCCCAGGATACCTTTAACTACATTTACCATGATGCATTCTCTTAAGGGGACAGCTCATAATTCCTAAGTAACTATCCAATTCCCATAGACTGGCTGGGACAGTACAGGGACCTTTGCCAAGGGAGTTCAGTTTTCAGCCACCCAAATGAGCGAATCAGGGGAGGGGCCGCAGCTTCTTGGCATCCCCCACTCCTCCGCACCCGGGTCCTCCCTTCCCCAAGTTTGCGCACCTATGTCAACCCAGCCCTACCTGCTCCAGGGCTGGGTCACCAGCTGCAGAAGCCATCGCCTTAGGCTCCGGCTGGGCGAGATCAAAAGCAGTCGGCTGGAAGAGGTCAGGTGGCCCGCAGCTTAGTCCTCCGCGGGGAACATCACTTTGCATCCAAACCCTTTTTGCTTTTGTGGAAAAGCTGGAAGGAACTGACCTTGAGTTCCTTCTCTGCGTTCTCTTGCTGTTTAAGGGCTGGGACGCCGCTCACGAGGGACCTGCAACATCAAAGGTTTGGAAGGAAGCCGTCAATTATGGAAACCTGCCCGCGTATCCACAAAGGGGGGTGCTTGATTACGTGAGTTTCCTGATAGGAATGTAGACCTTTGCTCTGCTCTGAGTCCTTTTGTCTGGATATAGCAATAAGCACTTAGGATATAGCAATAAGCACTTATGTACCGCTTCTTAGTGCTTTCCAGCCCCCTCAAAGCGGTTTACAGAGTCAGCATATTGCCCCCAACAATTTGGGTCCTCATTTTACCCACCTCAGAAGGATGCAAGGCTGAGTCAACCTTGAACCTGGTGGAATTCGATCTGCCAAATTGCAGCGGGAGTAGCTTGCAGTAACTGCACTCTAACCACTGCGTCACCGAGGCTCCTCATTGAATAGCCCAGTCTGCTAGGACTACTCATCTGGGGAAAAGGTTGTCCCATACCTCCGGATCCACCCCACCGACTGGGCCACCGGTGAGCGCATCTGCCAAATCAAAGGTTTCTTCCCACCCTTCACGGGACCTCACAGCAGCGCTTCCTCTGAGGCAAAGAAGGCAGCAGCAGGACTAGGGCAAATGCCAATCAATGTAATTTTAAAGAGATTAAATGCAGGCAATTAATTTTATTGCACTTTTATGCCACTCATCTCATTAATAGGGCAACTGGGGGGGTAATTAATTAATCATTAATTAATGGTATTTAGTGATATTGATGCATCCTTCATAGTTTCATACATTTGTTAAATTAACCATTACATAGAGTGAATGGAATAGGTCGGCCAAAAATTAATGGAATCCTTTTAATTTAATAGAATTCCTTTCTACCACAATAGGGCACTAACTTTAGACTGAGCCTCACCGAAAGCTTTGAGTTTTGGGTCCTGAAAATTTGGCGGCAGGAAAAAAAGACGACAAAGATTATAATTCCTATTCCTTATGGGAATGAATTCATCACATCCTCTTCTGGATAAAGGAATCGCAAAGGAATCGCAATCTCTTCAGACTGAGGGGCTCACAAATCCGTGTTTGGGTCAGGAACGCTTTTCTTAGCCCTCCAGTGCAGATTTGGAAAGTTGACTAAACATAAACAGATCCCATCATCCTCAGACAGCATCCTGAGTTCTAAGACAAAGGGTCCCTTCATCAGAAGGGCAGTGTCTCCATCAAGAGTAGACTTCACCCCAAAATTCTAGCTTGGTTACAAAGTTACTCGGTGCAGCGACCTAGAGAAATATTCTGATGTTATTGTCCATAGATTAGTTCGGTACGTCCACACATTTTATTTGATGCCTTGTCTATAGTCGTGGCTAGATATCAAACTCGGACAAGCAGCAGGTTCACATTCAGCTCAAAGTGTCCCGAGAGCCTGGAGGAAAACTGCTGGCTTCTCCAGCACTCTTTCTCCTTTTCCCCACCCCTAAAGTGGAAGATGTGGAAGCATTCCAGGGATGAGGAACCTGCCCCCCCTGGACCCCCCTCCCCAGCGGAACCAGGATTCCCCTGTCCTGATGGTGTTATACTCCAGTTGTTCTCTCCGTCCCCATCGCCCAAAAGAAGATTCGGGAGCACTTCGAGGAAAGAGCGCCAGAGAAGGTCCCAGATCCCTTTTCAAGACCTCCGCCTCCGCCTGGAGGAAGTGCAGGAAAGAGTGAACGCCAGATTTATCTCTCTCCAGCCTTCCCCTCTTGGTTTTGTGCTTCCACCATTATGCGTGGTCTTTGGCTTTAAGAGAATAAAAATTGTCCTTGAATGCAAATACTTTCATTCCAAAAGCTACCCGGGTTTCTTCGGTTGCAGACTGGAGGGTGGGGGTGGCAGGAGGGTTAGAGCCCGCTCTAAGCGGTTTACAGAGGCAACATATTGTCCCCATCAATCTGGGGGCAATAGTATAGAGCAGAAGTCTCCAAACTTGGCAACTTTAAGACTGGTGGACTTCAACTCCCAGAATTCTCCAGCCAGCTATGGTGTAGTAGAGGGAGAGAGAAATGAACAATTATTTTTCCTCCTTAATGAGAAACCTTGAGGTCCCCCTTATTCCAAACAATTTCTCACATTACCCTGTTTTGCTGACGAGGGTAGAGGAAAACGAAACGCCGTTTGGTACGAACCAGATTTTTTTGTATATACGCGTTTAATCCTAAACACGTTTACTAACGGGGCAAAACGCTGTACACAACTCAAAGACTTAGGAGCAAAGGGTATATGTATGTGGGAAGCTGCAGAGCAAGTCACGGATATACCACAAAAGCGGTGGGGTTGTGGCTTTACCCAAAACGGCTTCAAGTGTTCGGGTGTGCTTAAGCTGAAGGCTGAAGGTTTTCCAAGCCTTTTTAACTGTCGCCAAGAAGTCCGTGTGAATGGCGTAACTCTTTGTTTTGAACCGCGTATTAGTCTCTTCCGAATCTTAGATAAAGACCAGGCTACTTTTGCAAATCTTTCGGGACTCTGCATTGAAGTTCGGGACGCGTTTCCTAGGAAGCACGACCGGGAGTATTCAGTGAACTTTCTCCCCACCAAAGAAGTGCGTAAGTGCAAACCTATGATATACTTCATCATTCCTTTAACCATTATGATTTATTCCGGATTAGCAAACCAGGTCTGGACAATTTTTTTTTCCGTGTGCGTGTGTGCGTGTGTGTGTCTACGCGCCAGGTAGGGGCTGCAATGCAGAGGTTGCTTCCAGGCTCCATAAGCCGAAGTAAGCCTCGATCTCTGCAAACAGAAGCCACCGAGTTATTCTCGAGAGGCTGATGGGGGAGTAACATGAATTATTGTAGAGGAAATTGCCATGGATTTCCCTCCCTCTCGGCACCCACTCCGCCCCCCCCCGTTTAACTGTGAATAATTCGTGGGAAGAAAAAAAAACTTTAAAAAATCTCCGAAGTAAGGAATCCTCCCAAGGCGGCCACTCCTGAGGCACAAGAAGGGGCCGAGGGGCTCCTCTGCGAACGGTGGCAGCAAAGCGAAGCAGGTCTGGACCCTCGCACCTTCGCCCGACTCCTCCAATAGCCGCAACCTGGAAATCCTCCTCCTTGCTCAGCCCGGCGGGACGCCCGGGGAGGGAAAGGCGCCGGCCATGCCGGTGTTCCTTGGTGGTCGTCCCTCCCTGCCCTGCCTTCCCTTGATAAACAAAGTGGGGCAACTTGGAGCGCCGTCTTGCACGGCCTCAGAAGTGGTTGCCTTTTCTACGAGCTTTCATTGGGAAGGGGAATCTTGTTTGTCCCGGTCTCTCCGCCTCCCGCTGCCCCTTAACCTCTGCTGCGGGGCCCAGGAACTTGGCCAACTTTTGTCACACTCCGGAATCCCCGGCCAGAAATTTTGAAGACCGTCCCAAAGTCTTCCCCACCTTAAAAGAAAAAAAAAGTGAGGGCGCGGCACTCACGCAAACATTTTGACAAAGTTAAGCGCTGGTGGACAATGAAAGCTATGATTCAACATTGGCACATATGCGCTGATACACGATCCCAGTAAAATAACCCTAAGGGTCTTTAGGAAACTCTACAGCAACGCGCGGAAGGGCGTTACTCTCATCCAGCCATTCATATTTTAATTTTGCTGGAAACATTTCTGGCACAAGCAGGAGATGAGGTCTCTGACAAAGACTGGGGGGCGCGAAACCGGGAGCTCGATTGTCCAGAGGGATCCCAAAGGCAATCAAACCAGCCAGTTAACGCCCAGGGCCCACCCGATCTCCATTCCCGGGCCATTTATTTCAGTTGACCCTATACTAACTGAATACCTACCAAGAGATGAAGGGTGCGTGTGTGTGTGTGTTGTTGGCCGCCTTCTGCTTCGCTCTCGCGCTTGAGAACTTTCAAAAGATTTTAGCGGTCTGTAGACTTTTGGATTAAAGAGTCAAAATATTGAGGGGGGGGGAAGGGTATTTCCAGCAGCTGAGCGATCCCTGCGGCAGACAGATCCTGAAGTTCCCGGATGCCTAATTTATCTCCGAACTGCCCCAGAAACTTCCAAAGGCAGAGCTCCTTCGAGCTGAAGGACAAGAACCGCTAAGAATTCCGGCTCCTTTTACCCATTTACTAGTAACACTTGAAGGGAAAAATAGATGCCGATCTTGGTGAAGGGAGACGAAGAGGAATTTCCAGATTTTCATTCATTTATTCTTTTTCTTCCCGTTGTTAACTGAATCCCACGGAAAGATGAAAATATTCTCGACAGAGTTTTGTACACAAAGAGATTTATTTTACAGTCTCGGGAATGTCACCTACATTTTCTTATATACAAGATCACATCCCACATTTTAAATAGATATTCTATTAAAAAAGGGGGGAAGTACTAAAATTATATATTTGTAATTTTATACACACACACACACACATGTACACACTCACACCCACATACGCACAAACCAAGATCTCGGGATCATAAGCGTCCTACAAACAGAATACGAGCATTTCAACGATGTTCTCCAAACACAAAGTAATATATTAATTATAAAACAGTTGAGAGATAAATAAAAAATAGAATTTAAATCAGAGGGGCGGTTCTCTTTATCGGATGGGGCAAAGCTTCCTCTGAAGAAGGTGCACATTTATTTATTCAGCTGCGCTGCCCTCCTCCTTAATCCCCTCTAGAATTTCCAGAAGATTAAATTAATTCGAAGTTTCGCTTCAAAGTGCGAACTAAAGCAGTTCACTTCCACTGCCCGTTTTCAAACGTACTACCGGGGTCGCTACTTTTCCACCACTTCTTCCCCGTTGGGTACTTTGCGATCTTCGGAAGAGATACTGTTCACGATAGAGGAAAGGCAGCGCAGGCTGCTCGAGGCGGAAGAATCCACGGGCGTCCCTCCTGTTTTGGAAAGAAGAGAAAAACCTTAAGACCCAGGACCCATTGAGAGTAAACAGCGAGAAAGGCAACTTTCCACCGCATCGCGCAACCTTAGACCTATCCCTTCCTCCGCTGGTATTTTAATCGCCCTCATTCTGCTGGTTAGCACCTTTCAGACTTTTATGACGGCACCTGCCTTCGGGATCTAAAAATCTCACCACCATGTGCGCCTCCAACCGGATGTGATACAAGAACTGAATGGCCGTGGTCAAGAAAGAAACGGTCGCTGCTCCTATGACCTCCGTGCAGTTCTCAAGGTCCTTATGAAATCTTCGGGAGTCAAGTTCCATTCCAGGGTGATTTGGCCTAAATAATTCTGAACGTTTTTGCTTTCTTTCAGGGAAGAATGTAAGCGCGCAATGTGACCCTACATGCACGTGTGAGAATGTGACCATACATGCAGCTAGCATGCAGCTCGCTGCGTTGAATTACAAAACCCCGGGAGTCTAGGAAAACGCGTGCCATAGTAAATTGTGTGAGACGCTTTGGTTATTTTAATCTGATCAAATTTAGGGCCAAAAAGGCCAAAACTTAGGGCCAAAACTTATCCTTTGAAACCAAGTTTCGCCATTTCACTCAGTGGGATCTGTTATCTCCAAATCGTCTGTAAATCTCCACCGATACCATTCGATGCTAAAGCTCAGCTCTTTCGGAAGCTGCCAGGATCCTACAGGCATTTTAAGAGTTCTAACCTTCGGAGCCAACTTTTAACATGCGGGTTGCCTTGATTCTTAAAAAAAACAGAGAAGATCCGACTGTACAAAACGCTTGTTTTGATTCTGGACCTGAGCTACACGGAAAATAGATGCGGCGTTCGGTGTGTAAATGTATTCTAGACATAAAAGCCCGCTCACAATTTTAGGCTACTTAGGTATCCTGCTGAAATCGGCGCTTGCTCCCTGATGCTCATTGCAACTCTCAGACGCAACAGAAAATCCCGTTTGGCTGAGGCTGTTTCCATCCTGTAACAGCCACTCCATTTTATTAATTGTGGCGATCGAAGGATTTGTAAGGATTTTGGCTGTCCTGGGAGCCAATTCGGACCAAACCTGCGAAGGGCAGATGCCTGGCTGGGGCCCTGATTCCTCAGCTAGATCAGAGGCGGAGAAATGCGCTCCTATAACCCGCCAGCCCAGCGTGAAGTGCGCTTTACCTTCCTTGGCGCTGATCGGCAGCGTCCGGGAATGGTCTGAGCCGCTCGGCCAGGCGGAGCTGCAGGTGCTCAAGTAGTCGGGGGTGGCCATCTGAAAAGGAGAAGGAAGAGAAGGAGGAGGTGGAGGAGGAAGAGAAGGAGGAAGAAAGAAGAAAAAGAAAGAAAGAAAGAAAGAAAGAAAGAAAGAAAGAAAGAAAGATGGAGGGAGGGAGGGAGAAAGAAAGAAAAAGGGAGGAGGGAAAGAGAGAGAGAGGAAAAAAGAAAGAAAGAAAAAGAAAAATGGAGGGAGGGAGAAAGGAAGGTAGGAAGAACGAAAGGAAGGAAGGAAGGAAGGAAGGTGGGGGAGAAGGGAAGGCGATCACCAACCACTTCCAAGCACCCGCCCCGCCCCCTGCCGCGCCCAGCCCTCTTCCCCGGCTGGCCAAGGCCAAGGGAAGAGAAGGGTGTCCGGGCAGCGGCCGTGGCCAAGCCGCGCTTACGTTCCCGCGCTTGGCGCCGCCGAAGCCGAAAGCGCTGTTGTCCCCGGCGCTGCCCTCGCCAACGGGCAGGAGCAGCTCCTGGCCTTTGTCCTGCTGGTCGAGGCGCTGGAGCAGCTCCTGCAGCCTCTCGATGTAGCTGATGGCGCTGCGCAGGATCTCCACCTTGGGCAGCCGCTGGTTGGGGTTGGCCACCGTCCGCCTCTTGAGCGCCTCGAAGGCCTCGTTGATCTTCTTGAGGCGCCTCCTCTCGCGCAGCGTGGCCGCCTTGCGCCGGTCAGTGGGCGCCGCTTTCTTCTTGCACGTCTTGCAGGCCCAGATCAGGCACTGGCCCGGGCAGTGCAGGGGCTGGAAGCCCGGCGGCGCCAACACGTGCTGCTCCTCGCCGCTGCTCTCGCCGCCGCCGCCGCTGCCGCCGCCGCAGGGCTCCGGAGCGAGCTGGTCCTGGCACGACGAGGGCGACAGGGTGCTGTCGCTGCCCGGGTAGAGCGGCGACCCCTCGGCCATGTCCAAGCTCTGCAGGGCTCCATTCTCGCCGTCCAGGTAGAAGAAGTAGGAGCCGGATTCGAAAAGGTCCATCATGATGGGCTCGCGGGGCGCCTCTGGGCCTCCCGGGAGTGGGGGCGGGGCTGGCCCAGGCAGCCCGGAGAGCGCGCGCCGGAGAAGCGGCCCGACGGAATTTAATTAGCGCGGTGACATAAGAGCCCTGGCCTGCTTTATATATAGTAGCCCCTGAAATTCTATCCAACTTTTAGCTGTCGCCAGGCATCACCCTCCTAGGAGCAGAGCAGAAAGCGAGCTGGAGGTGCCAGCCCTGAGACTTATGGGCCAGGAGGAAAGGAGGAGCAGAACTGACACCTCTTCTATTCCTCCCCCACCCCCCCACCCCCCAAAAATATTATAAAGTAATGAGCCATTAAAAAAACAAAACTGGTGTGGGGAGAGAATGAATGACAAAGCTGAGTTGCTTGTCTCTGGGTGTGAGAGTTTGGGGTGTGAAGGAAAGAAGGAGCAGAGGTAATCCTTGACTTATGACCACAGTTGAGCCCCAAATTTCTGTTGCTGAGTGAAACATTGGTTAAATGAATGTTGCCCCATTTTGCAACCTTTTGTGCCCCATTTGTTAAGTGAATCCCTGAAGTTGTTACTTTGGTTGTTAACTGAATTGGGCTCCCCTATGGACTGTTTGTCAGAAAGTTGCAAAAGGGGATCACATGACCTCAGAGTCACTGCAACCGTCATAAGTATCAGTCAGTTGCCAAACATCTGAATTTTGATTATGTCACAATGGTTGTAAGTGTGAAAAATGGACATCTCACTTTTTTTCAGTGCCCTAGTAACTTCAAGTGAACTGTTGTAAATCAAGGACTACCTGTAATCAATTTCAATCCCAAACAGGGGTGGATCCTTGTGGATCCAAGGCTAAGTATAGATCCCCAAAGTAAGCCTGAAGATTATACCCACAAAGAGGCAAATCAGTATCTTTGCTGGGCTCAGCATTATTGTTGGCTTTTTCTTTCAGCATACCATTCCTATGATCCTAATCAATTCGGTGTGCTCCAAGAGTAGAAAGGGAAAATAAGGTTGGTAATGCTGCCAAGAAGATTGGCAAGGAGCAATCCTCTGATCCTCTTATCACAAGACTTTGCTTAGCAGCTATGATCCACCCTGTCCTCAGGAACCCCCACCATCACTGCAACCCCACCCCAATTTATTGTTGATCTTCAGAAAACTCTGGTTATTTTCTTCTGGCACTTGGGTCATGATGACCTGCTCCACTTTTGGAGTAGGTATGATATGACCTCTGATTGTCTATGAAGCATTCTCTGCGCTTATGTGGAATTGTTCATTGTTTGGTTTTCTATGGTTTGTTGTAAACTGCCCATAGTCTCAGTGCTTGGTTTGGGTGGCCATACTTCTCTATCATCCATCCATCCATCCATCCATCATGGGCTAATTCATAAGACTATTGGCATACAGTGAATGTGCCTTCAGTAGATATATGTGTGCCATGTATGCCAGATTGCCCGGTGTTCAATCAGAATCCGGGTTTCTTTGATCAGGGATGGATCAAGTGATCAAGACACTTCAGAAAACATCCATGTAGAGGTAAATAGTATTTGCAGAGGTTCCTTTACAATCAGAAAACTAATAATTTGTAGTTGGTAAGAGGGGACTGTATTTTTTCTATTATCTTGTTGCAGAAGACAACAAGATGGTAGAAGTCAAGATGATGATGTCATAATAGTCTAAAAGTAATATGGTAGTATTTTCCTCATATTATTTATTATGCACAGAGTTCTAGTTTTTCTTCTTCTAGTTTCAGTTCTGCTAAGCCCATCTGAATGTTGAATTATGGCGGTACAGTCCAGGACAACTCCGGTAATTCAAAAAGTTTTAGAACACGCAGGTGGCCCTGGATTTTTAGCTTCTGAATTATATCAATATCACAGATTAGATAAGTTTATTGTTAAATGTATTTTGGAATCTTATTTCAGACTACTAGTATAAAAGTCTTATTAAGCTAGCAAAGAACAAACACAAAAGCAGTATGTATAATAGAGAAAATTTGTTCTGCACATAGAAGTACTAATCATACTCAAATGTTTGGTAACTCAAATTTGGTTTTCAGAATTTTGCTTATGGTTTGTAGATCTGAATTACAAGCCTTGCCGAAATATATCTGTAGTCTGGTATTATGATCAAATGATTGTAATAAACACATTAATCTTATAATTAATACACATTTATCTTCAAATGAGTATATATAGAAATTAATTCAATGTGACATGAAGATATTTTTTCCTACCTGAATGATTAAAAATTCAAAGCTATTTAAAATGATATAGCCTTCTTTTCCAGCAATAAATGCTTGAAAAACATTACATTGAAGACTTTTAGGGAGGTTTCATGATGCCCTAAAAGTTCCCAAAGGAATGGGGATAGCATTGCAAGGGAGATTGATGACAGGATATTGTAGATAATACTGGATGGCAAAGACTGTTCAGAATAAAGAAAGATCGTGAGATTGTCCACTTTTACTCCAGATGTCTCCCACCCATGGATAGATTATAGGAACTGTTATCAGTTAAAGTTACATATTGTTAAATATTGATGGTGGAAGAACTTCATTCAAGATCCCAGCCCTAATGCAACCTATCAGGGGGTAAGATTTGCTTAGCCTAATTTCTTTTTTTAACTCATTTTGAGAAAAATTAAAATACAAAACTCCAACAAGTGTATAAAAAAGAAAAATTTGTAAAACAAAGAAGACATTGAAAAAAACCTCAACACATATATACACATTATCTTCCCTAGTTGAATACTGGTTAATACATTACCGCAATCCCACTCCTTATGAAACAGAAAATTTTTAAAGCACTAAATCTATTTGCAAATTATTGAACTGTCATCCATATACTATATTAATCATAACATAGTTAAGAAGAAGAACAATAATAAAAAGGCAAGGTTAAAATTTCAAAACCTGCTGTAACAAACTGCTATTGTAATCAACTTGCAGAAAATTTACCCCAGCATTTTATCTATCCCAAATTATCTCAACAGTTAAGAGTAATTCATTCTGGAACAAATATCCATGTTTGTTTCTTAATAACATCTCTCATCAATTGTTGTCCAATTAAATATAATAAGTTCAGTCTCCACAATTGGTCTATTTTCCCAACAAAATCCAGATGAAAGTGGTTTCTGATTAAATATAAAACAAGTTCTTCAGTCCTCCTCCAAAAATCCAATTGATCACACACCTCCATTCACTCAGGCTTCTGCTAGTGTAAAAGAATGCAGGCTTGAACTTTGGAGAGCGGTATGCAGCTAGCTCAGTTGGGTCTATGTCTGTATAGTCCATATATTTTTCCAGACTTTCTAATGGTTTGCAGCTTTTCAATCACATTCCTTTTGTGAATCTAATTTATCCAGAACTATATGCATCTGAAGATTTTCTATAGCCATTATCATTTCATCAAACTTTTTTTTTTAAAAAAGCTTTCAACTAAAAATTGCATGTTACCCAAAGGTCTTTTTCTGGATATTAGCCACCCTTGCTTGTCCATAATCTGATACACTGTTTCTCTGTGTAACTTAGCCAGGAAACAAAGGACACAGAAAAAGAAAAAAGCAGGAAATATGTTTTCTGGATATTTTGATCCAAGATTAAATTAAAAAAAAACCCTCCCAAGTATTTAGCAAATTTAAAATTTCAGAAACCCTGTGATGAGAGACCAAGATTCATGTAAATCAAATGAACACATTTTCACCATTCAAGGACATGTTGTGTTTTCCTACAGACAATGTTATTCAAAACATCATAAATCAAAGAGGAAAAAAGAGAATAGCTAGGATCCATCAGGAGGTTAAAATAAATCAGTATTCAACCAGATGGTCAACTTTGAAAGGTAAAAAGCATAATAAAACAGAAAATTTAAAAAGTGAAATTAAAACTCAGGCATGCCAAATAAACTGCCAAAAGGAAGAGGGAAGACCAATGACTTTCTGAACACTCCAAGGAACTGAAATCTTCAAGAGTCCCCTTCCCTAATGGATCCATGGCTGTCCAAAAGCTGCCTTGAGTAATTCCTAAGTGCTCAGGCAGCAGCGCTACCAGAGAACTAGCTTTGGCAGCAATATGAGCAGATCATTGGTAAGAGAAAAAAAAAAAAACAAACCTCTTGCCATTCAGCAGCCATTTTAGGAAGGAGTTCCAGAACTTCATTTGTTAGTCACTTTTAGAAACTGTTTTTTAATTCCTTTTTAGTTGTTAGAAACCTTTGGAACAATATTTTATAACACTGAGTGAGTTGCCTTTCTGTCACTAAGAAGTTTAAATACAAGTTTAAGGATTTTTTAAAAACATGTTTTTAATAAACAGCAAAGGAGCAATTAGAATGTTGATTTTGGAAAATTACAAGTAAACTAAGGGACCAGATGGATTTGAAATAAGATTTTGGAATTAATAAGAATCATTCTTCATTTGTAAATTAATTACTTCTATCTCCTTCTAAGCTGTATTTTTTAAATTTCACCCATAAATCAATTTCAATTTTATTCAAAGGAGCCTAATGTTCTGTAGTTATACCAGCAGGTGCTAGTAAAGTGTAAAAATAATTCAAAAACTTCCTGCCACTAAAAAGTCATAATTTTCTTTTAAAGTAGCCAGCTGGTGCCCTCTAATGTCTAATCTTAGTCTTTATCAATTCAGAATATTAACAGAGTAATAATGTTCCTCTCATACAAGTGGATCTTGTCAATCAACGTCAAATTCTTAAATCAAGTCCATCTGAGTATATAATCCATATGAAAATTTTCAAAACCAACAATATTTTATTGTGCATTGCCCAGAGTCACTCTTTGAGGGAAATGGGTGGTTCTGAAATGTGAAAAATACCTGCCCTGGTCCTCCCACGGCTTCTCTTACTCCCATCCCAAGATACACAGTGCTCCAGTTCCTGCCCCGGGGTCCCCACAAGTTCTAGGCCTGATTTCCTTCACACATTATTATGTACTATCATAACATTTAATTCAGCGTGGAAAGCAAAAGTTCAGAGGTGGAAGAAAAAATTATC